TTAATTTTGAGAAAAAAAGAAACTAGATAAGAAAACTTCCCAAATATGAAATAAAATTCCACAAATGTGGAACGTTTATTATATGTAATAAGTTCAAAACAGTAGTCCACCCTGACAAAAAAATAATCAATTTTAACAAAAAAAAAAAGTCAAATTTACCTAAAGAGTAGTCAAATTTATTAAAAAATTAGCCAACAAACTCAAAAAAAAAAAAGGAATCTACATTTTATTAGCAAAAAACTATTTTTATCAAAATAATTGTTAAAAAACTATTTATTATTTTACAAAAAGTATTTTTTTTTACAAAATAATTGGCATGCAACTACTCTATATTTTACAAACAATATTTTTAATCAAAATAAATCTCAAAAAAATACTCTCTATTAAAAAAAAGGTAGGTTAATATCCAAAACCATGGACTTCAACGCGAAACCGTAGTTTTCGGGCAAAATCAATATAAAAAAAAAAAAAAAAAAAAAAAAAAAAAAAAAAAAAACCGTATATTTTACTCAAAATCGTAGCCTACGGTTTGGGAAATTGTATTTGGTAGAGGGAAAAACGTAGGTTTTAATAAAACTTATGGTTTTATATCTTCAAACTGAAAAAAAATAAATTATACTAAACATAAAACAGTAGACGAATTAGTGAAACAGTAGCCGAATCTAAATTCCTACGGTTTCGTGGGCTATTTTGGGACAATTCCTAATTTTTGCTAAAAATTGTTAATTACTTCCTTAATTTTGCTAGATTAGTAATTACCCCTAAAAAGTTTGGTGATTTTTAATTACTGTTTGATATTTAATTAAAATTTCATTGTGCAAAAGACTTTTAACTTTTAAAATCGGGGTTTATTGATCAAAATTGGCATTTAATAATTTTTCCAGTTTATGGACACTGTGAATCAGTAACACAACAATTATAATAATTTTCCATGATCATTTATTATTTCCCCCAAATTTTATGATGTTTCAAGGAATTAAATTGATGAAAAATAGTTAGACAAATCAAAAAATTAGAAAAATTTATTTTAATGTCTTTCAATTCAGTTAAAACTGAAATACAAAGTTTGGAAAATTTTTATAACTTATTTGATTTAGTTTTGAGTACTTAACCATTTTAAACAATTTCCAAAATATTATAGTTACACTTTAATTGACATTGCCATAAATGGTATTTTTCACTTAAATATGTTATTTAACAATTTGCTCCATGAAAATCTGAATTTATAGAAAAATGTTTGTAACTTTTACAAAACCTAATTTTGATATAATATTGGCATAATTCTATTGTAGAAATTAAGTATACTAATGTTGGATTTTCAACTAGAGACTTACTACTGTGTAACCTTATCGTAGAGAATCGGTACTAAGATGTGAGGGAAGTTAGCTCAAGGCATCACAAATACCTTCACACATCATTGTGAGTATTCACGTCTCCCCCTATTTTTGATTTTTAAATGTTTTGGGGTGAAAAAGCATGTTGTTTACTCAATTATGTTTGTTGTACTTATTTTCAATTGTATCAAAAGTGATTTGTTATGTATGTGTATGCTATTGTTAATTCATGAGGCCTTATCGCAATTAAGTCCCTGTAATCAGTTCACACAACTCGTTAACTTATTTGAGCCCATGGTCATTACGGATAACGCTATTAGGAGGTAGACAACTCCCCACTCGCATGATTTGCTTGAATGCATTTTACTATATTTCCCTATGTTAGCTATAGATATAGAAGAGGGCACCCTCGGTCATTAGGCTTGGGTTGTGAACTCATGGTATACTCATTATGCACATACGAACCTTGTATCTCGTTTTAGCATCGAACTTTATTTCCCATGAGAATATGAACGTTGCATCTCATTTAGGAAAAATACTTTATTTCTCATGATGACAATGAACATATTTATTCATTTTAGCATCGAACTTTATTTCCCATGAGAATATGAACGTTGCATCCCATTTGGGCAACATACTTTATTTCTCATGATGACAACGAGCTTATTTATTCATTTTAGCATCATAATTTATTTCACATGAGAATATGAACGTTGTTGCACTCATTTGGGCAAGATACTTTATTTCTCATGATGACAACGGACCTATTTATTTATTTTAGCAACAAACTTTATTTCCCATTAGAATATGAACTTTGCATCTCATTTTGGCAACATACTTTATTTCTCATGATGACAACGAACTTTGTTTATGCAAACTTATTTACTCGTTTTAGCAATATACTTTTATTTATGAAAACTTCTGTCAAAACTTTGATTATGATTCATGAAACCAACATTTTTGTAAACCTGTGAACTCACCAACTATTTTTATAGTTGACGTTCGTTTTACATGTTTTTTCAGGAATCATCGAGTAAGTGGCACATAGAGCCATATCGCTTGTAGGAGCATTCCCATGTGTTATTTTTCAAATGTATTGTAATATTTTTCCTTGAAGTTGTTCAAACTCATTATAAACTATAAAGATTTTAATATTATGGTTGGTGTTGTCTTTATCTTTTGCTATGAAACCCTTTGTAATGTTGTGTCCCGTGTTTTTGCTATAGCGGGGTGTGACAATACTCCCCGCGTACTCAACAGAGTGGACTTCGGTGTTTGGGCTTCGGTTTGGACCATCTTTTAGGCTTAGTTGTTTTGAGCCTCGTTAGGCCATTAGGTTATGGGCTGATAATTATTTTGAGAAGGTCCACAATGAGATTTAGACCTAATTTGGAAAATTGGGCCATGATTTGAGCCTTGGGTGACTAATTAGGATTTGGGCCTTTGGATTGGTGGTTTAGGCCTAGGCCTTAGGCCAAGTTGGGCAAAGAGTAAAAATGTATTTTACCCTAGTTTTGACACTTTGTGTCGATCGGGATCCGATTATTAATGGATGATTATTTTGTGAATTGTTAGCGCGGGGATTTAAGTGGACCAACAATTAGAGATACTTCTGTGAGATTCGGCAATACGATGTGAGTTTCCTCACCATGTTTAGCGAGTCAAATGTACCAATGTTGACCCATGATCTGTTATGTTAGAATATTTGTTGTCTGCGTGACACTAGTATGTGTGTATGCTAGTATGCTTACTGGGCGGGACCCGATGGTTATTATGTATGCTATTATCTGTTATGCTTATATGAACTGTATGTAGGCGGGGCTCGTTATGCAAGTTAGGGTGGGGCCCTTTATACTTGTTGGGCATAGTCCGTTATGCGAGTTAGGGTGGTGCCCGTTATACTTATTAGGCGGGGCCCATTATACTCAGTGGGCGGGGACCCGTTACACTCATTTGGATGGGGCCGTTATGTGTTTTATATATATATATATATATATATATATATATATATATATATATATATATATATATATCAAAAATCATATTTTACACGAGTTATAAACAATAAAAATAACAAAAAGTGCCTAGACCACATTTCGTAAGGGTAGGGATGTCAACAGGACCAAACGGGAGCGGAAATAGCTGCTCCCGCTCCTGCCCCCGAAATCAGTTGTTGCCCCCGCTCCCGGTCACGTCCCCGGCTCCCCCGTTTACATAGCCCCCGGTTCCCCTGGTTTATAGACTTAAAATTCGTTTTTTTTTTTGCTAGACAACTACTTTGGTTTAGGCTAAAATGTCTATTTTTAATAACTTTAAAAGTTTAAAGCGTAGTCTTTTAGAAACTAAAAAATTAAAAATCCAACATTACGAATTCAACATTACAAAACAACAATTCCAACAATCTTAAAAATATAAAATATGAGAAATACAATATTATAAATATAAAATACTTACATATCCCAAAATATATGATCATTTCACTACATCTTCAATATTTATTAATTGAAAACGAAAAAGTAAAACCTAACCTACACCTAAAATTAGTAAATCTATTTTGTATATGTATTTTATATTAAATATATATTTTTTACATAAATGTACAACCGGGGCCCCGGTGGGATTACGGGACGGAAATACCAGCTCTCAACCCCGATCCCGAAAATAAACGGGGTTTAATTCTACCCCTGCTCCCGCTCCCTTTTTTTTTTTTTTTTAATTTAGTTCCGTACAGGATCGGGATCCCACATGGGTTTTTGACATCCCTACATAGGGACAAGAAGGCTTGTGCACCTAGAGAAATGGATAAAATACATTTACAAAATAAGATAAGATATATCACTAATAGTCCACCGCGGTCAAAACATGAAGTGAATAAATATTGAGATTGTCTCGTAAATCCTCAAATAAAATACATGGTTCACCGTTGGTGGACCTAATTTTCAATATATTTGGTGTGTAAGTGTTGAAATATTTTGGTAGATGGCACTTACATTATAACTCTGAAAGGGATGGAGCCAAAACTTTATAATAGATGGCGCTTTAATAAAATATTATAGTATACTTATATCCAAATATAATAATATGATCTATAAATTTAGAAGAAAAAACAAAACCATCTAAATAAAAGTTAATCAATATTTGCCAAAATCAATTTTCAAAAGACCATGACCACTTTCTTATACAAAAATAAATAGTTAGCATATAGATACGTTTTATTTTCATTCGAAAAAATCATCTATGTTTTTTTGTTGCTCACGATTTACCTTGTTATTATAAATTGGTAAATTACCAATCATCACAATATTACTAATTAAAAATTACAAAAAAATTCGAATCTGTAACATGAATTAAAATTACCTTGGCATTGGTAATTGATTTTATAGGAATTCACTATAACAGTAGCCAACCAAGCATCAAAATTAAAAACAAAAATTCCCGTTTATTTAAAATGAGTCGGCTTTAACCATGGGTTGATGCATCATGCATGAAAACAGTTCCATTGAAATAATCATGCAAAAATGCATTTTTCACATCCAATTAAAATTGATAGGTAAGAGAAACATATATATATATATATATATATATATATATATATATATATATATATATATATATATATATATATATATATATATATATATATATATATATATATATATATATATCCTTAAATTTTACCCACCATAAAACTACTTACCCATTGCTTTTCAACCAGATCCAAATAGACTTTTGTTATATTAACATTAAGTTTTGCTTTACAAAATTACAACTCACCTCTTGCACCTTTTACTACACCTGCAATAAAATAACAGTCTCTTCAACTTCCAGCTTTTTATCCAGGAAACATGACAAATAAACATACATAAAGCTTGTAAAGAAGTGCATTGACATTAAATTTTGGTTAAATTTATAATTGTATACCTGAATTAGTAACTAGTTTGTACTGGATGAACGCCATTTCTTCTTCTCCTCCATATCTAACCTCTTCACAAGTCTATTTACATGATTCCGGAATTCCATATATAGATCTTTTGATTTTTTAGCTCTCATATATTCTTTTGTTCCTAAATGCACCACCATTAACTTCTCTCCTGTTTTTTTCTTCTGGTATTGGGATTTCAAGAAGCTCAAAGATCAATAAAAAACAAACACAAAAGATAAAAAGTTGATAATTATAGAAAGAAAAGTAAAAAACGTTCACCTCAGACTTTGGCTGCAGGATCTGCATTATGTTGAAAGTTTCAGCTCTAAGCATGTCTTCAGCTATAACCCATGGCCTATGGGAAATGAAGTGATTTGAATTGATTATAAATTCAGTAAATGAAAGAAGGAAATTAAGTTAATGGTTACCTTCCAGAAAAAGTAGATACAATAAACTGATTTGGATTGCTTATAAATTCATGTATCCTCTTCAGCTTTTGTTTGCTATCCACAATAATTACTCCTCTTGCATATGGTTCAGTTGACAGGCTTTGAAAAACATAAGTATGTGTTGTGATTGAAGTTTGTTCATATATGAAGTCTTTCATCAAGACTGGAGATAGATCTTTCTCCAGATTCTCTAATATTATGAAATGATGAGATTCAGTTTCTTTGACACCTCCCATGTCTCTGTCCTGATCAATTAGTTCAATCTTGAATCTTCCCTTCTCTATCCTTGCAAAAACAGACTATAATGAGTTCTGAAATCACTGAGATTTAAAAGATGGAAATTTAAAAACCTTCAGAGAATCCACCAAAACAACTGTCTCCATCACCACTGAATTCCTACAAATCAAGGAGAGAACCATTTACATATTATTACAAGAAATCACAAACTGCAAGAGAAAATGTCATGCACTGAAGAGCTTACCTGTAACTTGTTAAGAGTTTGGTTTGAGCTTGTTTTTCTGGACAGAAATGGAGTCTTGGGTGTGAGACTAGATTGAGAAGAGAGTTTTTCCTTCACAAGCTTTGCAAAGTCAGTAACTCTGTGATCAGGGGCACCAGACATAATGAAGCATATATCAACAATACTTTCTGCAGTTACGATGCCTTCACCAGGGCCATGTTTCCAGCATAGTAGATAAGTGCATAAGCACTTCTCAGGTTTATGCTCTTTGTAGCAAACCTATACGGTGGATAACAGCAAACTGTGAACAAAATGGGAAGAACAAATTGCTTGCCTAAATAGACAAAACAGAACTAGTAATATGCATTTTCGAATCTGTCTATCTACTGATATGAATTCGGAAGTTGTGGTGATTGGTGAGTGATTTCTTAAACAGAAGCTTCTTCTTCTAGTTAATTTTATTCAGATTAAGAAGAGCGTTCTATTTGGAACAAGAAGGCTACGGATGAGCAATCTAACGAGAGAGTTTTAACGTCTCAGTATGATTTATGTCAGATAAAGGTATCGAAATTGGACGAAGATGTTACTGAAATGATTAGTGAGAATAGAATGCGATTGTCTACTTGTTCGAGCAGGTGATCGAAAACATTGTGAAATTACTGAGTATTTGCCCTAAAGTTTAGGTAAGATAAGATACATACACCATCAACAATGGCGTCGAAGTATCGAACTGATCCATCGCCTTTATAAGTAGCACACACCGTCATGCCTTCGATCACTGTGGAGCACTCGTTCTCCTCGACCGGCACGGACACCGGACGAAATCTACGGAGAAATTCTTCCAGTTCATCGTGTTTGGAGAAACTACCCATAGAGAATACCTCATCAGCGTCGCCTGACTTGAAATCCTCGAACTTGACGCGCAGCCGCTTTCCATTTTCGAGAACGACGCCGGAGGTGTACCACGCATCGTCGTTCTTCGATCGGTAGTCAAGGTTGTAGATTACCTTTCCGTCGCAGGAAATCGTCATTATCGGTGGAACCGTGGAAGGTGGTGTCGCTTGGGAACATGCACAATTGCACTGTCTGATGTATGTGGGTCCCAGCCGAACAAATTCCAGTTTTGGCAAACCCGAGTTCGCCTGAATAGTTAGCGAGTCGACGAAATTGAGTATTTGAGTCAAGTAAAATGGTTTAGAGTAGACAAAAATGCATTTGTAGTCTCTGTGTTTATCTAAAAATTGTGGATAACGTCCAAAATGTTTTCAAGTTGCATGGTTGGTCCAAAAGATGAAACTTCTCGTGATTTTGGTCTCTGGACTTAACTCCCATCTATTTCCTTCCGTTTAGTATAGCACGTACCCTCCATGTGAGGGTAATTTCGTCTTTTCATCTGTATTACACAATACCGTCAATTGAAAGTTCTACAGGCTATTTGTGTCTATCACCCCTAATTATCGGTTGGCTACTCCTATTCCTTCACCCACCTTCGACGACGTGAAGATAAAAAAAAAATAAATAAATAAATAAATAAATAAATAAATAACCCTTAATCACAAACCCTTTTCCTGATCGAGCTTCAATCTGTTGTTGAAATTTCGCAAATGGTTCTCACAATGTGGTCCATCAGAGCACACGGTGAAGAAATTGATCCCAACCAAATTTATGGTAAGATCCTCTGTATTTGATCACGTTCTTACACTTTTGAAATCTAAAAATCTTTTTTTGTTTTGTTTTTTAAGTTGGACATCCCACCATGTTCAATATTGAACTTCATCATGGTGGGAAGTTCATAAAGTTTCCAGGCATCAAGTATATTGAAGGGGTTGTAGCATACATTGACGTGGTCGATATAGAAGAATTCTCAGTACACGAGATGGACTTCATCATGTTAGATTTAGGGTATGTTGTTCCACATGTCATCTACTACCATTTCCGTTTGCCTAATGAGGGTTTGGATTTTGGACTAAGAGCTCTAGGTAATGATGATGATGATGTACGTAACCTATCAAAATATGTGAGTGAGAACAAACTGATAAAAGTGTACACAGAGCATGGAGAAACAACGTTAGTTACCTATTTCATGTACCCAAATGGTCGTAGAAGGTTTATAACAGAAGAGATAAAAGATGAGGAACCACCTCAGCCCATATCCTTTATTGTTGGTCCTCACTTGGTGGAATCTGAAGTTTGTAAGGGTAAAGTAGGGTTGACCTTGGCAAGGTATGGGTCTTTCACACCTGAGTTGAGTAGGGGTAGAGGTTGGAAACCTATCCAAGGTAGCTCATCATGTAATAAAAAGCTTTGCTTGGATTGGGTAGACAATAGAGGAATATATGTTGTTGAAGGTGATCAAGTTGACCTTGTAACTGCCACTGCTGATTTAGAAATGGTTGAAAAATTAGTGAATGAAGGTCTAGAAGAGGGGCAACCTATTGTAAATAAGGGTGTAGAGGAGGGGTGTACTACTATGAATAAGAAACACCAATCAAATGAAGTCCCTTTTGAAAACAACTATAGTGTAGAAGAGGAAATGTTGGAAGATTTTGACCCTCTTCTACGGGGTTGAATTTAATGAAAGTAGTCCAAAAAAATCATCCAACATAGCTGATGTAGATGCAAGTAGTGATGATGATTCAGAGAGCAGTGAAGACAGCAGTGAAGATATTGACTTTATCGTTGATGAAGATAACCTAATTCCATATATTGAAGTAGACATGGAGAATTTTCACATGAGTATAGACACGGATGCAGAGTATTTAAGGAGTGAGTATAAGTTTCATGAGTGCAATGATGTTCAAGAGGAAGTAGAGGATATAGAGGTTCTTAAAAATGATGAATGGGATTCTCTGGGTGAAGATTCAGACAATGATAGGAAAAGAAGGGAAGTTATCAAACAGTTAGGCAAGGAGAGAGTGTGTTCTCATGGTGAAGTGCACAAGGTGGCCTTCCATGTAGGACGAAATATACTCGAAGAGCCATCCATCTTCAAGAATTGGGGACTTACAGAACATTTTACGTGGTCCACGTATACTCGAAGAGTCGTCCGCATGTTTATATAAACGGATCGTGTGTGTCACACCCCAAATCGAACGGCGGAAACGTCCGAGGGCTCTTGTGACTTAAATTGAATACCATCACAATGATTATACATGAATCATAACATCATTCATCACCATGCATTGAAATAGTACAACTGTTATTGTTTACATCTATTGCATTGTTTTAGTCATTACAATTTCATAACATAAACCATTCGATAGGAAATCTAAGCAAAACACCATGACATAACTTGGTGCTTATTCTTCGACTTACCAGTTACCTGAGAATACAAGTTATTTTGAAAAACGTCAACATATGAAATGTTGGTGAGTTCATAAGTAATGTTATGGAAAAATGATTTTTGTGAAGATTGCAAACCCAGAAAATCCAATATTTTCTGAAAATAGTATTTGTTTATAGAAAAAGTGTGAAGATCCGTAAATATGCTTGTCGATTTTGAAAACATGTATAATTGTTAAACTTTGTATACATCTCATAGGTTAAAATGTTGAACTCCCCGGGAAAACCCGATGTCTTCCCAATACGTAAATTACATGTCTTGTTTACTGTTACACCGATACGATGATTTTTTTTTATTACCCAGGTGACATTGGATTGATTAAGGTTTGTGAGTTGTTACAATCACACATTAATGAAAATGACTAGTTTATAACTACAAATTACGAACGATCCTTAAGGTGTCGTCCGTACTACTCACTTAATCCAACCACCCTGACTTCTCTTGATTTACGCCACGAATCTGTTTACTCGATTTCTCATAAGCCCAACAACCGAGGAGAAAGGAGGGTATGAAGCCCCCTTTATTTCCATAAGTTATTCAAGGCTATTGGGAATACGAAAGGCACTTGGCCCAACTCGCATTTGACTTCTCGACCTCACTAGCAGTACTAATGGACCATTAGGTCCCAATAGCACAATAGAGCTATTGAAAGTCCTTTTACATGTAATTGGGTCATAGAAGGCCCATTAACATGTAAGCGCGTTCCCTCCGGGCCCAAAGATCATGTTATTGGGCTAGCAAGGCCCAACAAGCACGATTTGAAACTTTCAAGCCCAAAGTTTGAATGTTGACTCCTCGTAGTTATCACATGTTTATTGAAATACTATGGTTTATTGATTTTTGTTTTGTTATTGATTCGAGACCGAATCAATTCGTTTTGTAACGATATTGGTTGTGAGAGTGTATTTGTTTTTACGTTTCATCGGTAGTCGTGGATCTTGTATTTTATCTTAATGAATTAGTTTGTTTAAAAGTAAGATTTTTACCGTTTCACAACCTTTCTTTTATAAAAATAGCACTTTTAGTCCTTTATATAAAAGAAATTCATTTTAGTCCTTAAAACATTATTTTGACACTTTTGTATCATAAACTTGTTGAAAAGACATTTTTAGCCCAAATTTATTTTGTAAACAACTTTAGTCCTTCCAGAATGGTGTTTTCTCGGTTAAAACCCTCAATTTCACAACTTTGACAGTTTTGGCCCAAAATAGAATTTTTTTACATTTTTTTATCCTTTTTGAATTTGAAAAGCATTTTTGACCATTGGAATAGTTTTATTATACTTCAAATCCCCTGTTTTACAAAAGGTTGCATTTTCAGCTCCTCAAACTTAGAAATCTCGCATTTTGAAGCTTATTGGGCCGAAAAGCCCAAATTTAGCCCATTAAATTCAAAATTTACATTTTAAGCCCCTCAACAATGTTGTTGTTCAGAAAAATTATTATAGAAACTGTTTGGACCCTTTTGACCCACCAGAAATTATAACTTGTCGGTTTGGCCCCTAAGTTTTGTATTTTTGACATTTTATGCCCAAAAATGGGTTTTATGTTCAAGTATGTTCATCCTAACCATATAAACTATTTTTATTGAGTTGATTAGTCTAAAATAGTTTTATTTCCTTCCTCATGTTTTAGATCTTGGTTTTTACACACTTTTTGGATAACATATTCATCACAAACACATGATATCACACACATACATGCATCAAATCACACATAGCATACATTTACACATAGATCTACACATTTACTTGTATTCTCCCCCCATAAAACTCATAAAAACCGAAAAGAAGAGGGTATGAAACTCACCTTGAGTTATGGATTGGTTGTGAAGAAGATTTGGAGAAGTTTGGTGCTATTTTCGGCCCTAGCAAGTTCCTTGGATGGATCTCGAACTTAGTGGGTTCTAAGATGCAAGATCATGAACTTGAATGGATTAAGAGATGATTTTTGATGAAAAGAAGTGAGTTAGATCATAGATTTAAGCACCAACTTACCTTGAATGATGATTTTTATGAAAGAAATCCCTTGAACACCTCTTAGATCTCGAAAATTTTAAGAGAATGGGGAGAGAGTTTCTTTGAGAGAATTTTTGAATGAAGTGTGTGTGTGTGTGTGTTTGGTTTCGGTCGAGAGCAAGAAGAGAGAGGATTGATAAGATGGTTGCATGGAGATTTGGGTTATTTGCATGGATAACTTCCATGTAAAAATGAGGTGGCACTAATAAGTCAACTCCTCTTTTCCTTTGGACTTGGGCCGAGAATGGAGAAGAGAGGAGAGAGTTTTGGGCCTTGAGTGATTAAATCCAAGATATAGGTCCAATATACATCAAAGTATAAATTTTTATGGCCCATTAGGGCTATTTAGTTTTGTTATGGCCCAATATGGTCCTTTTAAATATTTTATTTCATTCTAGGCCCAATATGGCCCAAAATATTAAAATAAATGAAAGTGGGTCCAATTAGAGCCCATGATATTCCAATTGGAAGCTTATTGGTCCATTGGACCCAATAAGGAAATCCTAATCCAAAATGGACTTAAACAAGGATTTCTAAGGTTTCCACCTGTTTGTTGACTATTTGCAGTGCTTGTATGAAGTGTTTGATTGAAATTTTGTTGTCATAGAGTAAGCATCATGCATGCTTTCATGTTTTTGATTCATAATTGACATAAGTGTTGTAGTTACAAGGCACCAAAAATTTCTAGTTGTGACAGTGTGTACTCGGAAAGATGACTGTGTGAAAGATCGAACAAATGGACCGTTTTAAGGCACTACACGCGGACCGCGTGTACTCGTAAATTCGTCCGCGTGGGGTGTTGACTCTCGTTGACCCATGTTTTGACCAAGTTTGACCACGAATTAAATCCCCCATATGCAGTAGTCGGCCCTTCTTCCCCACTTATTCTTCTTATTCTCCCCTAAACTCCATTAGAACACTACCTACCTCCATCACTAAAACTCGATTTCCCGTCAACCGCCAGTCGGAATTACGTGAAACCACCTCCATTCTCTCCGATTTTTCAAGCTCTACAAAGCCCACCCAAAATCCATTCTGATCTGTTGTTGCAATTCCGACCGCCACCACCACCATATCGCCACTTTCCAACCATTTTCGACCAACTCCGACCACCTCTTGCAATTCCGACACCACCATTGTACTCCTCTTGGGCAATGCTATAAACCCCACTAAAAATATTCCTCAAGGCTCGCCGAAAATTTTTGGTGGAATCTTAAGTCGTTGTCGGATTTTGTAACGCCCAGGTTTCAGGGCTAAGCATTTTTGTCAATGTAATAGTCTAGGTCAACTATTGTAACTCTTTTTGAAGTAATAAATATGAAATATTTGAGTATTATGTGAATTATGTGTGTTTATGTGTTTATTATTTAATTATAAATGTATAATTAATAAAGAATAAAAATGAGCGTCAAAATTTAAGTGTGAGATAACCCCGATATCTCTACACAAAGTTGTAGAATATGTCTCAAGGTTTCCGTACATATAAAGAATGCCGAAATCCGAGCTATAACAAAGAAGTTATGACCCGCCGAAGTTTTACGGCAAAACCGGCACGGCACCGGGAGACGTGAATAGTGAATTTACGATAGAAGACTTTTTAGCCTTAGAAATCTAAAAAAAAAGTCATAGAATATGTTAAACTAAGAACATGGATAAAAAGAACGCCCAAATCTGACTTCGTATGAAGAAGTTATGATTTTTCTAAGATTCGGCTTAGCAGTGCACGGCCCGAAACTCGAATTTTAGTTCGAGCGGTTTTTGGCTTACGCGACCTAAATGAGAGTTGAAGATCTCATTCATAGG